GCAAATGCTGCTGGGTATGGTGTTGTAAGCCTGTAATCCCAGCACTTAGGAGGCTGAGGCAGGAGGATCACTCCAAATTTTTTTGTTTTTTTTTTTTTTTGAGACAGGGTCTTACTATGTAGTTGAGACCGACCTGGAACGCACTATGTAGTCCAGGCGGGTCTCGAACTCACAACAATCTTCCTGCCTCAGCCTCCCAATTGCTGGGATTACAGGTGTGCGTCACCACACCCAGCAGATCACTCCAAATTTAAAGGCCAGGAAAAGCTTCTCAAAAAAAAAAAAAAAAAAAAAAAAAAAAAAAAAAAAAAAAAAAAAAAGCAAATGTTAAGACAGGCATGGAAGCACATGCCTATAATCCAAGTATTTGGAAGGCTGAGGCTACAGAATCTTGAGCTTGAGGCCAGACTCGGCTACACAGAAGACCCTATCTCAAAAAACAAAAAAGCATTAAACACCCTTTAAAGGGGCAAACTATTAGTCTTCACCTCGATATGTGGGATATACTGTGTGTATATATGTATATATTTACCAACTTTTATTTGCAGGGGTGGGGGTGTAGCTCAGCAGAATATTTACCTAGCATGTGCAAGGCTCTGGGTTTAAGAACCAGCACCACCAAAAAGAGAAAAAAATCCTAACATAGCTCCAAAGAAATTTCCCAGCCTAAAGCTGCTCACCTCCACACTGCTCTATTGCATTTGCAAAGTGAAAATTCATAAATTACTAGATATAAGTAGCAGTTGCTGCCTTTGAAAAAGAAATCTATCAGTAAGAATTTTGTTTTTTTAAAACAGGGTCTCACTATAGTTCAGGCTGGCCTCAAACTCAAGGTGGTCTTCCTGTCTCAGTCTCCCAAGTGCTAGGATGACAGATTTCTAATCCTTGTTTGGGAGTGGGGGGGGGGGCTTTCACAGATCAAAAAGGGTGTCTATAAGCCAGGTACTGCACTATGGGAGGTGGTGGCAAAATTCCAAGTTTGAACCCAGCCTGGGCAATTTAGCCTGGGTCAAAAGAAAAAAAAAATCTAAGGCCTAGGAGCAAGGCAGGATGGTGCACACCTGCCTGTAATCCTAGTACGCTGGGCGACTTAAGCAGGAAGATCACAAGTTTGAGCCCAGTTTAGACAACTTAGCAAATCCTGTCTCAAAAAACAATTTTTTTTAAAGGGCTGGGGATGTATCTCAGTGCAAAGGCCCTGGGTTTAATCTCTAGCAGAGCAACAATAAGAACAAAAAAGGTGTCTACTACATGTCTAGTTTGTTTTCACCAGAGGGGAGTTATAAGAACAGAGGATGCACTAATATCAAAAGATTATATAAGTGTAGTTCATTTCACTAGAATAAGAAAGCTTATTAAGACAATGCTAAATGGCACATCTGTGTTTTAAGAATCTGAGATTCTACAGTAAATAAATGAGACAAAATTACCAACAAAAAACCCACCCACTATAGTTAAGTAACCCTTCATAACACATCTTCACTTGAAAGTGTCGTGCAGAGTTATAAACAAGGACTTACCGGACTTTTGAAGGCGAGTGTTAGAGGCATGGAGGTTTCTTGCAGCAATAAAGGATGATCCCAAAGCATTTTTGGAGACCTAGTACAATAACATTCTTAAAATTTTGACTTTTGTAACAGCCTTCATAAAATTGACAAGCTGGGTCAGATGTGGGAGAGTATGCCTGTTCCAGCTATTGGGGGGCTAAAAGGGATAGCAAGGCCACACAGGAATTCAAGGTCAACTTTGGACTCAATAAGATCCTGGCTCAAAAAACCAACGCTGACAAGCTTAAACAATTCAGGTCTAGTTTGATCAAGTTACTGATAAAAATATAAATTATATTTAAAGTATTATTTAAAATAAAGTATTAAGTGAGAAAGCACCTTTTGATATATTTATCTTTTATGTAGTTTCTGAAACACAATAAACACTAAAAGTGTATTTAAAAGGCTGGGCACAGTAGCACATGCCTGTAGTCCCAGCATTTGGGAGGCTCAGGCATGATCATTGCGAGTTCGAGACTTTCTGGGCTACATAGTGAGTTCAAAGCCAGCCTGGACTACACAGCCAAGACTTTTTCTCAAAAAGAGAAAGAAAAAGGGGGTATGGGTTTAAAAATTGCAAGCCAAAGATGTGCATGGTGGCGCACACCTATAATCCCAGCACTCGGGAGGCTGAGGCAGGAGGATCGCTGAGTTTGAGACCAGCCTAGGCTACATAGTGAGTTCCAAATCAGTCTCAACTACATAGTGAGACCCTGTCTCAAAAAAACCAAAAAACTGCAAGCCATGAAAAAAGCAACCATCAGGGACTGGGGATTTAGCTCAGTGGTTCCGGCACCTGCCTTGCAAGTACAAGGACTGGAGTTTGATCCCCGGTAAAGACAGAGAGAGAGAAACTAAAAAAAAAAAAGCAACCATCAAAAAGGTCTAAGTATCTTTCCCTCTAAAAGCTTCCACCTACTATTACTTTGACTTGAGATGTCTGAGTTGTGGCAATTCTCAATACAATTACTTTCTAGAGCAAATCTCAAAACCATGTCCTATTTTACTTTACAAAAACAAAAAAGCTAGGCCTGGTGGTGCACACCATACTCCCAGCATTTGGAGGCTGAGAAAGGCCGGATCACAGCCAAGTTCCAGGCCAGCCTCTGCTACATAGCGAGTTCAAAGTCAGCCTGAATTGCACAGCAGAGACCCTGTCTCAAAAAAAAAAAAAAAAAAAAAAGTATAAGCACAGCCTTGGTAAGAAGGCAACTTAGGGAGCTACAAAAAGGGGTGCGGATGTAGCTGAGTGCAGCGATCCTGGGTTCAATCCCCAGTACTAGGGCAGGGTGGGGTGGGTCGCTGTAAAGAAATAAAGGTAAATTAACAATAGATAAGTAGAGCATGTAGACTTTTTTTCATTGCCGTGAACAAATCCTGCAACACCCTTGAACATGAACCTCTTTTCTTCAAACTCTGATATTCTGAGAGGTCACTGTCCATTCTAAAGCTACTACTCTTTATAAGAGCTAGGTGAAATTCGGCATACCGTAAACGCTTTTCTGCTAACAGAAAACACAGATGCTATTAAAAAGTAGAATAGTACACTATAATAAGTGCATTTATTTCACCTTTCAAATGCATACTACTTTGGCAAAAAAGTGTAAATGTGTTTAATAAGGCTTAAGTTAAATTTTTCAAAGAAGCTTACTGACTTCAGAGAATTCCCCAACGTTATGTTCTTTTTTATTTGAATTCTCAGTCATTGTTTACCAATTGCTCAAAACATCAGATGGACAACTGAAGGACAAAATCTTAAAGTACGTCACGAAGCAAAGCCTTCTGTCAGATCGGGACAATTCAGAAAGCAACTTCAGTGTTGCGACGGTACCTGTCACACAAAACGCTTCTTTACACCAGTTCGGTGTTTCCACGCGGATTCAGTGTTCCGCACTAAGACCAAATACCTAAGTGTCCAAAAAGTCACCTTCCTTATTTCTTTGCTCAGACTGGGCCCCGAGCACAGGTGAAATGCCGGGGCTGCTGACCTTCATTCAAAGTCAGGCTGCCCTGACTCGCGTCCACAGAGCTGACAGCGGTCCTCTCTCTTTCCCCTGTGCGAGACCCAGGCAATCAGCGGCTCTGAGGCTCTGAACCGTCCTCGGGGACCAGCGCCCAAGCCTTGACCTTCATCCAAGTCCCCTCCTAGGACAGCCCTCAAGGCCAAGACAGGAATCCTCAAGAGGCGCATCTCCGGGCAACATCGAGGTCACCGCCTCCCCGGCATCATTTGGCACCACTCTACACGAGCAAAGAAGCCTTTCCAGCGCCCGCGGCCCAGCAGAGCTGCCACGGTGCAAGATGGCGGCCCCTGCCACAGCCCCTCACCCTCCCTGCAGAGATCCCCAGCCAGCAAGCACCATCGTCTGCAGCCCTGCTGAGCTTTCTGCCCGGGCCGCAGCTTACCAGCCCGGCCCGTCTAGGGAGGACGCGGGCCACGGCCGCGGCAACGCGCACTGACAGCATCTTCACAGCTTCTCCTTAGAAAGATCCTCCGCAGCCGCAGCCTCTGGACTGACTGGGACAAAATGGCGGAGCGACGAGGAAGGTCAAGACAGCCGCCCCCCCGACCCGGAAGTACCGCCCCTCGCTGCTGCCACCGGACGCGAATATGCTTTTGTGCTTTCCCCGGTTGTTTTTTCTAACTTCAAGAAATTTTTTTTCTTTTTAAATTTAGATCTCAAAATGACTGATTAGACCGTGGCCAGCTTCGGCTTTGGCATCCATCACACATTTATTTCGGTCTCTTTGAGTCGGCCTTGTGATTGCCCCCGCGATCACGTGAGTAGCGGAAGCTGCGAAAAGCGGGTACCAGGACCTCACCAAGCAAGGTGAACTGGGCGTCAGCGCGTGCCGGCGCTACTGGCTGGACCTGCAGAAGGATCTGTAGTGACAGTGGTGCTAAACTATGGTGCTGTAACAATGGTGTGGCAACAGCCTTCCCCCTGGGCGGCCCCCTCCGTAGCGTCCCTTAGACAGCGAGCTAATCCGCACGTCGCTCTCCCACCTCTTAACCTGCGTCGAGATAAGGGGCAGCCGGGCTTGGGGGCACATACCTGTAATCTCGGGAGGCTGAGGCAGGAGGATCAGAAGTTTGAGCCCAGCTTGGGCAACTTAACTTTAGTGTGACTCTCAAAATCAACAAAAGGGTTGAGGTGTTGTAGCTCAGTATGAAGTCCCTGAGTTCAATCCCCAGCACCGTGTGTGTACACACACACACACACACACACACACACACACACACGAGCGCGAGCACAAAAATGTAAAAGCAGATAGAAAATTACACAACCTCTTATAGTGTTAAACACAAAGTGATGAAGCCAGGCGTGGTGGCAGACGCCTGTAACCTCAGTACTTGGGAAGCTAAAGCAGGAGGATCACCGTGAGTTTGAGGACAGCCTGGGCTACATAGTGAGTTCAAGGCCAGCCTACTATGTAGTGAGACCTTGTCACAAAAAAAAAAAACCAAACCAAAAATAAACAAACAGTGACGGAGGAAGGAGAACTTTAGGGAAGCCAAGAAATGAATAGAATAATGGTTGAGCAGCAGCGACTGTCCTAGTAGATGCTGCTTTAAAATCTTTTTGTGCACATTTAGCTACTCATTAGTAGACAAGGTTAAGATTGCTACAGCTGTTAGTGCCAATGTAGAATTTTTTAAATTTAAATTTATGCAGTCAATGTGGAAGAAACCCAAATGTCTGCTAACCAAAACCCCAAAGTTTTAGGTATTTTTTTTTTAAAAAGTTGATTCAAGCAAGACATAAAACACATACATAAACAAGGAGAAACAGCCTGGTTCGAGTAGCTCTCTTTCTCGTCTAGGAGATTATACCACAGAAGCAGAGAGAACAGGAAAGCCATAAGAGAGGCTGGATCAGCCTTGTCCAAGGTCTAAGTGACCTGGAGTCGGAAAAACCACAATTCCCAGAAATCCTGGGCCAGTGAGGGGCGGGGCTCTCCAGCGAGCCGGGCGTTTCTCCCGTGAGGCGTTTCGCGGAAGTGGCGGGAGCAGTGGCTATGGAGGCGCGGGAGGAGAAAGAGTCTCAGGTGATGGGGTCGGGAGCGGGGCTTTGCGGCCTCTTGGAAGCCGCACTTTTGACACAGTTGCTTAAGCGGTGGTTCTCCCGTGCACCCTAAGCCCCTCTTCTTCTCCCTTCTTCTATATGTCCTTCGCCATCCTCGAACTCCCCTGAAAAGTGCGTTTGAATCCCTTCCCCGCTCTTCCCTTGCTGCGACTCAGCCAGCGACTGAAACCTAGGACCGCGCTGCGATGCGACTTTAAATGCAAAGCCACCTTGATTGGCTGCTTCCTACTAGAAGCTTCACACCCGAGCTGCAGCCCAGCTCTGGGGCCTATAATGCTGTCACATCTACGTACTGAGCTTTAAAGGTTTTCCAACTGAGGCATGTTTTTACCCTATACCGCTTTTTTAGCTTTAAAAAAAGAATGGGCTGTTCTCTGGTAATTTTGGCTTTTATACTATTATTCATTATGCTTGCTTAGTTTGTATTTCTTGTTATCAAATGACTCCCTAAAGAAGATGTGAAGTAGAATGCCAGAATACAGAAATCATTTAGTTTACTTTTCTTTGGCATGGTCCCAACAAGTCATTAACGTAACAACAATAAATAACATAACACTAAAACAAGGCCTATAATATTTGTCTTCTTTTTAATGGTTAGGTTGCTGAGTGGTTGAAAAAAATATTTGGAGATCATCCGATTCCACAGTATGAGGTGAACTCACGGACCACAGAGATTTTATATCACCTTGCAGAACGCAACCGGGACCGGGACAGGGACGCCTGCCTAGTAATAGAGGACTTGAAACAAAAAGCAAACGAATATGAGTCAGAAGGTGAGATTTAAGGCTAGCGTGTTTTTTTAGTTTTGTTTTTGCCATGCTGTGGATGCTACAGGACATGCTACAGCTGAGTTACAGCCTCAGCCTTTTTTATTTTTTATTTATTTATTTTGGTTTTTTAGACAGGATCTCACTATGTAGTTGAGACTGACCTGGAACTCACTCTGTAGCCCAGGCTGGTCTCGAACTCATAGCGATCCTCCTGCCTCAGCCTCCCAAGTGCCGGGGTTACAGGCGTGTGCCACCATGCCCAGCCAGCCTTTTTTATTTTTTGAGACAAGTTTTCCCTGAGTTTCCCAGGTTGGCCTCGAACTTTCCATCTTCCTGCCTCAGCCTCTAAATCTGGAGTTTTGCATGAGATACTAAATGTAAGTAGCCATGGACTGGGGATTTAGTTCGGTGGTACCACCCGCTTGCAAGCATAAGATCCTGAGTTCAATCTCCGGAACAACAACAACAACAAAAAAAAATCCACATTTTATAACACTAAGGTATATAACAGTGTGGAATACTTACTTTGCTTCTTTATTTTACCTAGATTTATCTTCCATTCTGTTAGCATTAACTTTTCAAATCATTAATTTTATTATAGAAATATTTTTAAAATATTTCTACAGTTCTGTGGTTCAAACTGAGGGAGCACTGAGCTACATCCCAGCCCTTTTTATTTTGAGACCCAGTCTTCCTAATTTGCCCTGGTTGGCCTTCAATTTCATTTCTCCTAGTTTAGCCTGCCTGGTAGCTGGGATTATAGTTGTGTGCTATCATGCACAGCTGTAATAAATATTTTACTGGTGCTCTGATAGCAAAATAGCCCTAAAAGATACAAGTCTAGCCAGACAGGGTGATACATGCCTGTAATCCCAGCTACTCCAGTCTAATGAAGGAGGATCAACTGAAAGTGCCAGGCCAGCCCTTGCAATCTAGTAAGACAGGATCTCAAAATAAAAAATATGGTCTGGGGTTGTAGCTCAGTGGCAGAGGGCATACCTAGCATGTAGGAGTCCATGGGTTCAATCCCAGAACCACATACACACAAAGAATCCTGAACTTAGCTTCACACACAAGATGCTTTATGGTTTTTTTCCTTCTGTTTGTTAGGTCTGTTTCTAGCCTTAGTCATAAGCTTTTCTTCTACATGTAGATAATCCAGGTCCTTACAGATTCTACAAGTGTTACACCATTGAGCTCTTGCCTATATCACCCCAGGCCTTGCTTTCATTAAAAAAATATTTTTTATTAGTATATTTGCAATAGATGCATTTATTGTGGGGAGTTGGTACATACTCATTATTGCATCTTAATCCTTCATACTCTCCCATCCCTTTTCTCCCTTCTCTTTACCTCCCTCACTAGATCCACTTCCTATCTGCAAAGCATCTGCCTGTTTCCTATAATCTTCTATTTTACTTTTTAAATTTTTTTTTATTTTACTCTTTAAATTACTTTACTTTGGGTTTCTTAGAGAAACCATGTGACATTTTAACCATTGTGTCTGATTTATTTTACTAGCGTTTTATTCTCGAGGTGCATCCATTTTCCTAAAAATGGCTCAATTTTATCTTTATGGTTGAGTAATACTCCATTGTGCATGAATACCATATTTTCTTTATCTGCTCATCTGTTGATGAACATATAGGCAACTTCCAAGATTTGGCAGGATTATGCTCTATAAACATGGATGTGCATACCATTGTAATATGATGTCTTTAAACTCTTGAGATATCTAGAAAGGATATAGCTCGGTTGAATGGAATTTCTATTTCTAGTTTTTTGAAGAATCTCCATATTGATTTCCACAGTGATTGTACTAATTTACATTCCCACCAGCAGTGTAGAAGTGTTCCTCTTTCCCCACAACCTCTATAGTATTTGTTGTTTTGGATTCTTTTTTGTTTTGTTTTGTTTTTTTGAGATAGGGTCTCACTATGTAGTTGAGACTGCCCTGGAACTCACTATGTAGCCCAGGCTGGTCTCGAACTCACAGTGATCCTCCTGCCTCAACCTCCTGAGTACTGCGATTACAGGTGTGCACCACCAGGCCCAGCCTTGTTTTTGTTTTTTATTGAGTTTATTGGTACATTTTAGGTATACAGTACAATTACTTTCATTATTGGGATCTTGTACCTTTACATGACAGGTCTTGGTTCTCATTTTTCCGGCTTGTTTTTGTATTCTTGATGCTGGCCATTCTCCCTGGAATAAGATGGAATCTCAGTGTTGTCTTTACATGCATTTCTTGAATAGCCAAAGATACTGAACTCTTTCTTTTTTGTGTTTGTTTCTTTTTTGTTTGTTTGTTTTTGGTACAGGGATGGGGATAGAACTTTCGACCTTGCACTTGCTAGGCAGGCGGCAGGACCACTGAGCTAAATCCCCAGCCCCATGTGTTTGTTTTTTGAGACAGTCTTGCTCTGTAATTCAGCCTGGCCAGACTTACTGTACATAGCCCAGGCTGGCCTCCAACTTGCAGTGATCCTTCCACCTCAGCCTCCCAAGTGCTGGGATTACAGATGTGCACTACCACTCCCCTGAGCATTTTTTTCTTTTTGGCCATTTGTACTCTTTCTTATGAGAAGTATCTGTTCATTTCAGTTGCCTGTTTTTTGATTGAGTCTTTCATAGGGGGTCTAATCTTTTCTACAGTTCTTTGTATGTTCGGGGTACTATTCCCCTGTCAAAGCAGTAGCTGGCAAAAATTTTTCCCATTCTCTTGGTTTTTCACTCAGTAGTTCCCTTTGATGTACAGCTTTTTTATTTTATATAATCCCACTTGTTGGTTCTTGGTATTATTTTTTGTTCAGAAAGTTATTGCATATGCCTGTATCTTCAAGCACTTCACCATTTCATGTTCCAGGCTATTGTTTCCTTTTAATATCTAGGTCTTTGATTCATTTTGAATTATTTTAGTACAAGGTGAAAAATAACAGTTCTACATTTTTTCTTCTGTATGTTGAGAATCAGTTTTCTCAGTATCATTTATTAAAGAGCCCTATGTTTTAGCCCCTTTGTCAAAGATCAGCTGGCTCAATACGCCAAGGACTGTTTCTATATTGTCTGTGGTGTTCCATTGATTGGCATGTCTTTTTGTGCCAGTACCATGCAGTTTTCCTCACTGTAACTTTGTAATAGAGCCTGCAGTCTGAGATTGTGATCCCTCCTGCTTTGTTGTGGGTGCTGGAAAGTTGAATATCCACATGTATAAGAATTTGGACTGGGCATGGTAGCACATACCTCCCAGTACTTTGGGAGGCAGAGGCAGAAGAACCTCGAGTTCAAGCCCAGCCTGGGGAATTTAGCAAAACCCTGTCTCAAAAAGGAAAGGGAGACTTGGCTTGGGATGTAGCTCAGTGCAAAGGCCCTGGGTTTGATCCCCAGTACCACAGAAGAAGAAGAAATAGTACTTTGATTCTACCTCACACCATATATAAGAATTAACTCAAAATGAATCCAAAGCCTAAATGTTAGAGTTAAATTTAAAGCTGGTATGATGGTGTGTACCTATAATCCCAGAATTTTGGGAGGCTAAGGCAGGCAGATGGTAAGTTCAAGGCCAGAATAGATAATTTAGTGACTTAGTGTCTCAAAATAAAAAGTGAACACAGAGTTGAGAACCTGGGCATGGTACACACACCTGTAATCCCACCTTTCTAGGGACCTGAATTAGGAGGATTACAAACTCAACCTTAGACTGGGCAAATGAGAAAAAGTGATTGCTAGGGCTTTGTGGGTTAGAAGGTTGGAAATGTTGACTAAGGAATGTGGGATTTCCTTTTTTGGAGTGATGCAAATGTTGCACAACATATTTGATGATGGAGCCAGACATATTGGCGCATGCCTGTAATCCCAGCGCTTGGGAGGCTGAGCCAGAAGAATCACCATGAGTTTGAGACCAGCCTGGGCTACATAATGAGTTCCAGGGCAGTCTGAACTGCATAGTGAGACCCTGTCTCCCAAAAAAAAAAAATGAAAGAAAGAAAGAATTTAAAAAACCAAAAGAAAAAGGTAGATTTGATGGTGGATATAAACCCTTGAATATACTGAGTCATTCAGTTGTGTGCCTAAGGTACATAGATTTTATGGTATGAGTTGTATATCATGAAAGATATTAGAAGTTTAAAAAACAGACAAACATTCTTAGTCACCATGAAATTCTTTTCTTTTCAGCCAAGCATCTTCAAGACCTCCTCGTGGAGAGTGTGAACTTTTCCCCTGCAAATCTGTCTAGCACTGGTTCTATGTATCTGAATGCTTTGGTTGACAGCGCAATGGCCCTTGAAACAAAGGATACCTCACTAGCAAGGTAATTATGGTGACATTTTAAATTTCTGTAGTCATATTTGCTATAAGGTATTGACCTAAGTACTTGTTATTCTCAAGGTAATTCTGTACAGAAACAATGATAAATGCAAAAGCACTGAACTTTAATTTATCCCTTCTTTTTGCTAGTAAGATTAATTCAGATAGATGTGGTATTGATTAATTTTTTAGAGTTTTCTTTCAGGATTAGGTTGTGAAGATTGGTTGTCATTTATATTTGGAAAAAGAGAAGGTATTGCTTACATTGATTCCTATAAACAATAAGAAAAGCAGTGGGCTAACTCATCTAATTTAGCATGGTGAATTCTAGTGATGTCCTACCCTGTTGGGTAGATTAGGGTAGGGACCTTCATTCTTTGTGCTAGACACTTCATTTGTATAATGGCATGGTTCTCTCAACGACCATAAAAGGAAACTGAACCACAGAAAGGGTGTTAAGTAACTTCTCCAACTAGTGAACGGTACAGTTGGAATGCTAACTCAATCTGGCTCCCAAGTCCATGTGATTGTCACTGGTGGTAATTAGGACTACCAGTGCAACTTCACTTGAGAACTGTACGGATGGGGTTTTTTTGGTATTGGGGATCGAACTTGGGACCTTGCGCTTGTAAGGTAGGCGGCAGCACCATTGAGCTAAATCCGCAGCAACACAGATGTTTTCTTAATTACCTTAAGTCAAATCGGCGGACACCAGTTGTAGGTGAGATATGTGAACCCTTGGAAAGCAGAGTAAATAGAACAGTAACTGCCTTCAAGAAAAATTAATCCCAGGGCCGGGGATTTAGCTCAGTGGTTCTTGCGCCTGCCTTACAAGCACAAGGACCCAAGTTTGATCACCGGTACCAAAACAAAAAACAACAAAAAAAAAAACAATGTCTTTGAACTCTCAGATGAGGGAGATGGACGTGTAAAACTCTATTATATATGTGACAGCTATAGTAGTACAAGAATATATAAGCAGTAGCTGGGAGCACAGAGAAAAAAGTAGTGAATATAGCCAGGTATGGTGACATACCCCTGTGACCCTAGCACTCAAAGAAGCTGAGGTAGGATCCCAAGTTTAAGCCCAGCCTGGGCAATTTAACAACTTAGTGAGACCCTATCTCAAAGTTTTCAAAAATGTAAAAGGCCGGGGGTGTAGCTCACTGTGAAGGACTTGGGTTCAATCCCCAGTGCCACCCACCCACCCACACACACAGCAAATTCAAGACCGGGATACATCTTAACTGAATATTGAAGGACAAATGAAACTTTGACAGTTGAAGGACATTTCAAGAGATGGAAACAGCATGTAAAAAATGCATAAAGGTATGAAACGGTGATTATATGAGTGTCTACTTATGGATGTAACTAATAATTATAATCATTGCCCTTAATTCACATATGTAACCAGATTCTTCTTTTAGTTTTATTCCTGCAGTGAATGATTTGACCTCTGATCTTTTTCGTACCAAATCCAAAAGTGAAGAACTCCAGCTTCAACTGGGAAAACTTGAAAAAAACCTGACAGCAACTCTAGTATTAGAAAAATGCCTGCGAGAGTGAGTTGAAAATGGTGGCAGTTTTCATTATAAAGACAGTGTTACATTATTTTCATTGATTTAGCTCAATGGCACTGTGCCTGCCTTGTAAGCACAAGGTCTTGAGTTCAATCCCTGTTACCCAGGGGGTAAGATTGTCAGACTTATAAAATGTTGGCAGTAGATATGATTTTTTAAAACAAAGAAGGTAGGATCTATATATATATTTTTTTTTTTTTTGCAATACCGGGGACCTTGTGCTTGTGAAGTAGATGGCAGCCCCACTGAGCTAAATCCCCAGCTCTTTTTTTTTTAGACTTTTTTGAGACAGGTCTCTCTATATAATCTAGACTGGCCTTGAATTTAGGCTGGCTTCAAACTCACATTAGTCTTCCTGCCTCAGTCTCCTGCAGTTGGGATTACAGGCGTGCCCCATAACACTTGGCCCGTAAGACATTTTTTAAGAAGAAAATGACCTGAGTGGAAGTAAGGAATGGTTGGGTAAATATTTTCACCACTTTATACAACTTAGTACATTTGTATTGTGTTTTTGTCTTTACTTTGTAATACTGGGGCTGGAACCTGGGGCACTTGCACATGCTAAGCTGAGCTACATGCCCAGTCCTTTTTTGTTTATTTATTTGTGGAGACAGGGTCTTGCTGAGTCCCTAAGATACTCAGGCTGGGATCAAACTTATGATCCTCCTAGTCTCCCGCATAGCTGGGATTCTGTAGGTGTGTGCCACTGAAACTGGCTCACCTAGTATTTTGTTGCACTTTTTGACTTAAAGCTCTGATATCCCTCTTTGATACTGGGGCCCGCCTTTTGGTCCACATTGCTCCAGAAATTCAGGCCAGTGAATAAGGATATATAAATGCACTAGTAATTTGTTGTGGTGTAAATTTATTCAAATATGAAAAATACATGTACAGGGCACTGTGCCATGTCACATTTAGGAGGCCTTTGGGACCTCATATTTCAGATTTGCTTTTAGAATATATTAATTTACTAAAAAAAAGATGATAGAATAGGGAGATAGACTTTGTGGAGACAAGGGGATTTGGAGGAGGGAAGGAGAAAAGGAAATAAAAAGGATCAAAATGTGATACGTATATGTGTATGTACCAGTTATCTCATGATGGACATATTCATTGTGTATCTCAAACAATACTAGTAAAAATTTTCTATTAAAATTATCTTAAATTACTCCTTAAGATGAATCCCACATGGGAACACAGAGGGAAATAACCTGAAGACTGCATGGTAGACCGGGTTATAAACTTTGTGGTAGAGAATTCAGCAAGTAGGTTATCTACCGTTCACTAAGCCAGTATTAAAATGTAGTGGTTTCTTTTTTATAATAATTTTACTGAGGAGGAAGAGAAAGTGCTTTTGATTTTACTTTTTAAAGAGATCTTAAGAAGGCAGAGCTCCATCTGTCTGCTGAAAAGGCCAAAGTTGACAGTCGTCTTCAGAACATGGACTTCCTGAAGGCAAAGGCAGAGGAATTCAGATTTGGAATCAGAGCTGCAGAGGTGTGTATGAAGGGCAGAACATAAAAATCTTTTTGACCTTTATTCTCACAACTAGGCAGCATTATTAGTCTCTTGCACAGAAGAGGGAACTACGGAGTGGATAAGTAACTTGCCCAAGGTTATATAACTACTTAGCTGCAGATTCAGACTCCAAGTCAGGCATTCAGGCTCTGACGCTCAGGCCCTTAAGCTCTGCACCCATTTTAGCACAATCTTAGCACAATGTGTGAGTGCAGGAAGGATTCACAGATAACGTAAAAGGGCCTAGATCCATGTATAATTTTTCATCAGATTGGTAAGCTACTTTTAATATATTACATGTTGAAAATATTTAATGATAGTCATTTTTAAAGTAACTTCCTGGGCTGGAGATTTAGCTCAGTGGTTCCACCGCCTGCCTCGCAAGCGCAAGGACCTGAGTTCAATCCCTGGTACCCCAAAAAATAAATAAATAAAGTAACTTCCTAACTGAACACTTTTTGTAATTATAGGAGCAGCTTTCAGCTAGAGGCATGGATGCTTCTCTGTCTCATCAGTCACTAGTAGCACTGTCAGAGGTGAGCCTGTCTTAGTCTCTTTTCTGCTACTCTAACACAGTGCCACATGTCTACTTAAAAACAGTAGATATGTGTGTTTGGCTAGAAGTCTTAAGATCGAGACTGCATTTGTCAAGGGTCTTCTGCTATGTTGTAACCTGGTGGAAATGGCAAATGAGCACAAGGCAGTCAGGGAGTGGAAGCAGCCAACTCCCACCTGTTCATGGAGCCTGTGCCTGACCACTCTGGACTAGAGTCCACCTGTTATTACTGTACAGTACCAGTTACATTTCAATGATTTTGGGGGAGGACATTCAAACCGTAGCGCTTATTTCAACCTCACTTAATTTTCTTTAAACTATTAGTCCAGGGCTGGGGATTTAGTTCAGTGGTACCGCCTCCTGCCTCGCAAGGGCAAGGTCCTAAGTTCGATCCCCAGTACAAAAAAAAAAAACTATTAGCCCACAATCTGCTTTTTCTTCTTTTTTTCCTTTGTGACCTTTATGCATATCGGCTTGATTTCTTTTCCTCCCATGCTGAGGATAGAACCAGGGCCTCGCACATGCTATGCAAATGCTTCACCACAGTGCCAGCCTATTTCTGGCCCTATTTTTGTACTTTATGTTTACTATTATCTGTGTCTTTATTGTCCGTTTAACTGTATATATAACCTTCATTTGTTTGCCCTCCTTTATGTGTTGTTGTAGGCTAGAAACTTTTTGCTAGAATCAGTAATATATAGTTGACTTATTTCTCAAACACTTGAGTATCTCTGTGCTAACCATTTAGGAGCTCCTCTTCTCTTTCATCGTACAGTAGAAGTAGAAGGCCCAAAATTCCTGGAGTTTCCAAATTCAATTCTAGGTTTTCAGGTTGTATGAATTTTATCTATTCTGGTGATAACAACGAGAAACAAAAGGTTTTTATTTCTTTTTTTATTCTTTTTGTTAATTTTGAGACAGGATCTTGCTGTGTTGCTAAGTCTGGTCTTGCTATCCTCCTGCCTCAGCCTCCTGAGTAACTAGGACTACAGGGGCTCACCACCACATCCAGCTTATTGTATTCTACTTCATTTTATTTTATTTGTTTACTTTTTTTGCAGCACTAGAGATTGAATCCAGGGGTGCTGCTCTACCCCTAAGCTGCATCCTTGCCTCACCCCCCTTTTTCTTTTTCTTTTTTTGAGACTAAATTGCCCAGATAGGACTTGAACTTGTCATCGTTCTGCTTCAGCTTCCCTTAATGCTGGGATTACAACCACATACCACTACCTCTGTCTTTATTATTGTTGTTTCGTTTTGCTTTTTGAGACAGGATGTCACTATGTAGTTCAGGCTGTCCCTGAACTCACTCTGTAGCCCAGGCTGGCCTCCAATTTATGCAGATCCTCCTGTCTCAGCCTCCCGAGTGCTGAATAATAGGCATGTGCCACCATACCCAGCCCTTTATTTTATTTTATTCTTTTTTTATTTTTTTTTTAAGACGGGCTGTCACTATGTAGCCCAGGCTGGCCTTGAACTTGTGGCAGTCCTGCTTCAGCCTCACAGGTGTTGGGATTGCAGGCATGAGCCACCACGTCTGGCTATTTCATTATTATTATTTTATTTTATGTTTTCAGCAGTGGGGATCAAACTGGGGACCTTGTATTTGCGAGGCAGGTGCAGTGCCACTGAGTGAAATTCTTGGCCCTATTTTATTATTCTTCAGGGTTTTGGTTTTTGTTTTTTTTGTTTTTTTTTTTTTTTTTTTTTTTGTATTTACAGTTTTCAATAGAAAGTTGACAATTCATAAATATGTATTTGAAACTCTAGTTGTTCCTTTATATTCTGAAAAATTTGTAATCACATTCTTTTGTATCTAGACAGATTACATCAGTCTTATTCTTAGTAAATGAGAATATAGCTTTCCCATTGTAAACATAAGTATTATTTTCATTGGAAGTAAACTTATCTTTTTGAAGTTGTTTGATACCTTCTTAAAAAATCCTTGGTGGGTCGGGGATTTAGCTCAGTGATGCCACTGCCTGCCTCGCAAACTCAAGGTCCTGAGTTTGATCCCTGGTATCAAAAATAAAATAAAGCCGGGCGTGGTGGCGTATGCCTGTAATCCCAGCACTCAGGAAGCTGAGGCAGGAGGATCGCTGTGAGTTTGAGACCAGCCTGGGCTACATAGTGACTCCCAGGTCAGTCTCAACTACATAGTGAGACCCTGCCTCAAAAAAACAAAGAACAAACAAACAAAAAAATAAAATAAAAAATATCCTTGGGTTGGGATGTAGGTGAGTGGTAGAGTGCTTGCTAACATGCATGAGGCCCTGGGTTTAATCCCCAGCATCGCAAAAAATAAATAAATAAAATAACACGTCCTAAAACTGCTGGGCACAGTAGCACACACCTGTAACCTCAGCACTCAGGAGGTTTGGGCTGAAGAATGGCAAGTTTGAGACCAGCCTGGGCTACATGGCAACGTAGGGAGACCTGTCTCAAAAACAACAAAATCCTTATATTAATGCTTTATTGTATTTATTTCAGAAGTGAGGGGGAGTTTTGTTTCACTACCGAGCATTAAACCTAAGACCTTCATGCTGAGTTTTACCCCCAGCCTTTTTTCATGTTTTAGTTTGAGACAGGTCTCATTGAGTTTCTGAGGATGGGCTCAAACCTGTTATTCTCTTGCCTCCGCCTCTGAGTGATGGGATTCGAGGAGCGTGCTACAGTGCCTGGCAGGAAATGAGCACTCCTTAACTGCACTATGACTGTGTCTTACTCTGTGATGTTTTTTTCACTCCCAGAAACTGGCAGAGCTAAAACAACAGACTATACCTTTGAAGAGAAAACTGGAGTCCTACTTAGACTTAATGCCGGTAATTATTTTTATGGAATTAATTTTAAAGTATTGTCTCTAACTTTCCACAAAGGCAATAAATGATCATAAAAATTGTGGGTTCATGTCCAACGATTTAAAATCGGTGAATTTCACTATTGTGAAATTTTGGCTATTTACTGTTTTCCATAATTAAAAATTTTTTTCAAACAAAACATCTATTGGTACATTTTAGAGATATATAATGATAACACTCATCACAGGAAATTTGCACCTTTACATGATATATCCTGCCTCTTATTTTTTTCCCATTTCCCCCTCCCCTCCTTTATACTAAACTTTTGTTTCCATTTTTTCCCTTCTATTTTTACTTTTTTCTTGTCCTTTCCTTCCTTTCTCTCCCCTTATTCCCCTTCCCATTTGAACATTTTCTTCCCATTTCTCAATATCTGTTATACATTTTAGTCCTTATTTCAAACTGTGGTCTCAGGGTGCATCCATTTAGCTATAAATGTCTCAAGCTCACCATTCTTCACTTGCTCTTAGCCAAAAGGCCGAGAAGCGATAAACTCACCATTCTTCATGACAGAGTTATATGAAAAAACACATCTTCTTTATCTATTCATCAGTTCATGAGCATTTGGGCTGTTTCCAAGATTAAATTTTGTGAAAGGGATTATAGTATGTTTTTTCCTCCTTTGAATCTGAACTGAAGCACTGTAACTTTTCCTTATGTTTTTCTTTAAAAGAATCCATCTCTTGCACAAGTGAAAATTGAAGAAGCTAAGAGAGAATTAGTAAGTAGTTCCCATTTCTTCTTCATATTTGTATTTATTTATTTTTATATATTATTTATTTCTTGTTTTTTGTTTGTATAGTTCAGGCTGTCCTTGAACTCAACTATGTAGCCCAGGCTGGCCTCTAATTCACATTGATCCTCCTGGCCCCTCAGGTGCTGGGATTATAGGCGTGCACTACCATGTCCAGCTTCTTTATATTTTTTAAAAGAAATGAAACAGCCAGTGTAGTTGTGCGTGCATGAATCAAAGTACTTGGGAGGCTGAAGCAGGAGGATTGCCACAAGTTTGAGGCTGGCCTGGGCTATATAATGAGTTCAAGGCCAGCCTGAACTACACAATGAGATCCTATCTCAAACAAAAACAAAAATCAGAAGAATGAATAAATGCTGATCTAGCTAAAGCCTTTTTCATTCTCCATCTTTCTTCTTCAGTTATAAGCTACAGACCCAGCCAGGCATGGTGGCGCACGCCTATAATCCCAGCACTCGGGAGGCTGAGGCAAGAGGATTGCTGTGATTTTGAGACCAGCCTGGGCTACATAGTGAGTTCCAGGGCAGTCTCAACTGCATAGTGAGACCCTGTCTCCGAAACAAAACAAACAACAATAAACCACAGAGCCAAAGTTGCCTTGCATCCTTCCCATGCACTGTTTAATACTTTTTGGGGTATATCTCCATGCAATTTTAGTGCTGTTTCATGTCTTTAAGATTTTACATAAATTTCCCAAGTAGGAAAAAGGGGTTGAGATAATAAATATTCTAGGCAAAAAAGAATGAGCAGCAAGGCATGGTGTTACACATCCGTAATCCCAGTACTGTGAAAGACTGAGGGAGAGGCTCACAAGTTTGAGCCTAGCCTGAGCAGCTTAGTGAGTATAGTGAGACCCTGTCACACTATTAAAGACTGAGCTGGGACCTAGCTCAGTGCAAAGCTCCTGGCTTCAACCCTCTACACCTCACACACACAGTATTAGCAAAGGCGGGTCTGGAAGTGTGGCTCATTGCAGGGTCTGGGTTTGATCTGCAGCACCCCAGAAAGGGAGGGAAGCAGGTAGGTGAGCAGACTGGTTGCAGTGGCTCACAGTGACATCTTCTTGCTCTTCCAGAGGCTGAGGTGAGGGGATCACTTGAAAACATGAGTTTGAGGCCAGCCTAGCAAGACTCCTTTAAAAGAAAAAGAATTGGCAAAGGCATAAGAGACGAGGAATGAAAGATTGTTCTGAACTGTGGCAAGTGATGAGCTGCAGCTCAGGAACACACATCCTAAGATAGGACTGATAGAAATAAATTGGTTTATGATATAAAAGGTCCTAAATATAATGAGGGTTGAACTTGGAGGCTGTAAGGGACCAGTAAAAGTTGCTGTGTATTTCCTTGTTTTTAAGGTCAAGAGAAATGTGATCAGAGCTATAGATTTTGGTTAGGCCCAAGCTTTAGGAAGATTAATAACCAGTGTGAAAGGCAGATTGGAGGAGGCAAGAGAAAATTGCAAACACAAGTTAGCCTATTTAGGCCAGACAGAAAGTTGTAAGAGCCAAGTGTGGTGGTGCATGCCTATGATTCTAGCACTTGGGAGGCTGAGGCAGGAGGATCACTGTGAGTTCAAGGCTAGCCTGAACTACATATTGAGACCCTGTCTCAGAAAACAAAAAATAGTCATAAAAATAGTAGTAATGAGAATAGAAAAGCAGTTATGTGAGAGATGTAGAAACAGGAGTAAACGTTAGAAAAATCTATTTATATATCACTGCATTGATTTATTTGTAGATTTTTCCCCTCCTTTGGGTGTTTATTAGAATCAGTGAAGAGTCTGAAAACTTTTGAGAGGAATTGGAGGGAAGAAGAGGGTCTAAAGCAAGGGAAAAAACCAGGAGTGGTGGCTCATGCCTGTAGTGTTCCCACTGGGGAGGCTGAGGCAAGAGGATCCCAAATTCAAGAGAATGTTTAAAGCATATTTGATATTTGTAATGGTATTAAAAAATTTCTGTTCTAATGTTTTTCTTTTTGTTTCCCTTATTTTAAATAGCATTCAATATTATAGCATCTGTTTTATATCCTTACTATTTCTTTCTCTATTTAGGATACCATTGAGACCGAACTTTCAAAGAAGGTAGACATGATGGAACTGTGACCAGAGCCGAACAAATATGTTTTTCCTTAGCAAAATAAGTTAAATAGAACTTTACGGGGTTTTTTAATCTGCTTGGCATACCTTAACGAAATTTCTGTTCTTAGTTGAAATAGTAATGTCCTGTTAACAGAATAATGGTCCCGAGTTATACATTGCATTTTTGTGCCCAGATACAATTTTCGTATTAAAAAGCATTTTCTAAAGCTGGGCCTGTTGGATTTTCTGTGTGGGCACTTCAGAATCCTTCAGGTTCAAACACATGGCAGACTACACAGTGATGCCTGTCTCAGAACAAACAAAGTCTCTCAGCATCTGTAGTGGGGAACATTGTCATGGCTGTCACATATACACTCAGTCAGCTAAAGTGAAAAGGGAAGGTTGTGCAGTTCCTGCCCTGTTTCTTCCACTCTCCTTTCTCCGGGGACTCGGTGTTGTTCTTTCCGATCAGCTCACCTGCTTGCCTCCAAATGTTAATATATGCAGGAATTTAGTGTATGAGAAAATGACCTTTTAAATCAGGAATAGAAAGGTGGGTAATTCTACCTATAGTGCTAGATGCTAGATCCATACTTCATATCTTAGGATAATCCAAAGGATCAAAGATCTAAATATAAAAAATTTAAAAAATAAATGCTAAAGAAATCATAGAAGTTTTTTTTTGGGGGGAGGTGGAGACAGGGTCTCACTATGTAGTTGAGACTGACCTGGAACTCACTGTGTAGCCCAGGCTGGTCTCGAACTCACAGCGGTCCTCCTTTCTCAGCCTCCCAGGTGCTGGGATTACAGGCATGCGCCACCACACCCAGCTTCATAGAAGAGTTTTAATGTTATACTTTTAAAATAATCATAAGAGTCAGAAACATGACCAAAACCCAGGAGCCATAAATGAACTGATTGAATTATTTTAATATTTTGAAATACTAAAAATTACTTCATGGCATAATCTTCTGTAAATAAAATCAAGGGACATGAAAAGTGTACAGGGAAGAAGCAAGAGAGATTTTTTTACTATATACCTGTTTGTGCTTTGATTTTTAAAGTCTTATACTGCACAATTAAAAAATACTCTTGTTTTTTAAAGATCATCTAGCCAGGCATGGTAGTATACACCTATAAAACTAGCACTCTGGAGGCTGGCAGGAAGATTACAAATTTGAGCCTAGCCAGGCTACTTGCCACTTAGCAAGAGCCTGTCTCAAAATAAAAGGGCTAAAATAAAAACAAAAAGGGTTGAGGATGTAGTTCAGTGCAGAGGTGTTGGGTTCAGTACCCAGTATTAGAAAAAATAATACAGAGTCAAAAAAAAATATATCAGACTTACCAAAAACTGCAGGTGACAGGGATTTAGCTCAGTAGTACCACCTGCCTTGTAAGCACAAGGTCCCAATTCAGTCCCTGGTACCAAAAAAAAAAAAAATAGGAAGTAGAAACTGCTGGTGAATGTACTGACAGATATTTTGTATCAGCCTAGAAATTTTTAAATTCTTTTTTTAATTGGTTATACAGATTAATGGGTTTCATTTTGATGGAATCTTATATTCAAATAACACACTGATCATTTTCACACAGCCTCTCTCACCACCCCCACCCCCTGTTCACCCTCTCCCCTGTTTTTCACACTGGGGAGATTAATATTTATTTTGCTCGTGTCCTTCCCCCGCTCTGTTACCTTCCCTTACACCCTATTTGTCTTGTTCTCTTCCTCTTAACTAATAATAGACTCCCTTCTACTTTCTTGTCATCTTTTTTTTAGATTTCACCTATTAGGAATAACATGCAATATTTGTCTTTCTGAGTCTGGCTTATTTCTCAGCCTGATAAGTCTCTAGAACCATCCATCTTCTTGCACAATACAGAATTCCGTTGTTCCTTGTGGCTGAATAATATTCCATTATGTATATATACCATTTTCTTTACCCATTCATCTGTTGGTAGGCACCAGAGCTGGGTCTGTATATTGCCTGCTGTGGGTTCCACCACAATAAACATAAGTATGCAGTATCCCCGTGGCATGCTGACTTTAAATGCTTTGCATATATGCCAGAGAGTGGTACAGCCAAGTGTTAGCTCTCTAGTTTCTTGAGGAACCTCCGTACTGATTCCATAGTGTCTATACTAATTTACATTACCACAGCAGTGTAAAAGGATTCCTCCCCACCCTCTACACCCTTGCCAGCATTTATTGTTTTGTATTTGTAAAAAGGTTTTATTAATACTTATTTGTAGTACATAATGATTACATTCATGGTGGGGAGCTGGTCCATACATATCCTTCTATCCTTTCTCTCTCTTAATGTTTCTGGTTTGGGTTTTTTTGTTGTTTTTGGGTTTTTTGAGACAGTCTCACTATGTTACCTAGGCTGGCCTTAAACTTGTGGCAATCCTCCTCCTTCAGCCTGCTGAGGGCTGAGATGACAGGCATGTGCCACCACACCCAGCTGGTTTTTGTATTTTTTATTTTTATTTTTTTTGGTACCAGGGATTGAACTTAGGACCTTTGGCTTTCTAGGCAGGCAGTGGAACCATTAAGCTAAGTCTCTGGCCCTGTGTTCTTGACAGTACCTTTTATTGCTGGGATGAGATAGTATCTGTGTAGTCTTGAGGCTAACAATCAATGTTGAACATTTTTTTCATGTACTTGGCCTTTTGTATTTCTGTTGAGTATTGCCTGTTTGGTTCATTTGGGCTATTTGATTTTTGGGGGGTAGGGGTGTTGTTTTCTAAATTCTTTATGTATTCCAGATATTAATCTTCTGTCAGAAGAGTAGCTGGTCAAGATTTTTCCCATTTTGTAGCTGTCTGTTCCCTGTGTTGGTTGTTCCCCTTGCTATGCAGAAACTTTTTTTGGTACCGGGAATCAAACTCAGGGCCTCACAGTTGTTAGGCAGGTGCTATGCCACTGAGCTACATCCCCATCCCTGTGCAGAAGCTTTTTAATTTGATGTAATTCCATTTGTTGTTTCTTGCTATTACTTCTTGTGCTGCTGGAGCCCTATTCCAGAAGTCTTTGTACCTATGGCTTCAAATGTTTCCCCTGTGCTTTTCTGTTTCAAAGTTTCAGGTCTTATAACTAGGCATTTGGTCCATTTTGAATTGATTTTTGTACAGGGTGAGAGAGAGGGATCTAATTTCAAGCTTCTGCAAATAGATACCCAATTTTCCCAGCACCATTTGTTAAAGAAGCTATCTTCAACACATATTTTTGGCTTTTTTTTTGTCCAGAATCAGATGGCTTTGGTTGCTTGGGTTTGTTTCTGTGTCCTTTATTCTGTCCCATAGGTCTAGATAATCTATTTTTGTGTCAGTATCATGCTGCCTTTGTTAGCTTTGTAGTATAATTTGAGATTGGGCATTGTGATTCTTTCAGACTTGCTCTTTTCACTTTGTATTTCTTTGGCTATTTTGGGTCTATTGTGTTTCCATATGAATTTTTGGATTTTTTGTTTCCTAGTTCCGTGAAGGATGTCATTGGTATTTTGGTGTGGATTACATTGAATCTGTGGATCGCTTTTAGTAATATAGCCATGATGACGATATTAATTCTGCCAGTCATGAACATAGGAGGTCTTTTCATCTTTTGGTGTCTTTGATTTCTTTATTCAGTGTTGTTTTTATTATGGAGGTCTTTTACTTCCTTGGTTAGATAGATCCCTAGGAATTTTATTTTATTGGAAGCTATTGTGAAATTGTTTTCCTGATTTCTTTCTGAGCTAGTCCATTACTGATGAAGCTATTGCTTTTTTTTTTTTTTTTTTTTAATGTTGACTTTGTATCCTGCTGCATTGCTAAATTCATTTATCAGCTCTAAAAGTCTTTTGGTAGTTTTTAGCATCTTCTAAATATAGTATCATATTGTCTACACACAAAGGTAATTTGATTTCTTCCTTTCCTGATTGTATCCCTTTTAATTTTTGTTTGTCTTGCTTAATTGCTTTAGCTAAAATTTCAAGAATTACATTGGGTAAGAGTGATGGGAATGGACCTCCTTGCCTGGTTCCTGATTTGAGAGAAGATGTTTTCAATTTTTCCTTATTCCAAATGTTCCTCTAGGTGCTGAGAAGAATGTGTATTCTGTAGTTGTTTAGTTGTTGGATGAAATGTTCTGTAGATTCATTTGATTTATGGGTAGTTTAGCTCTGATGTTTCTCTTTTGATTCTGGGGGGCGGTCCTACTTGACATATTTGTTGTTGAAAGTGGAATAATGAAGTCACCCACTATTATTGTACTGGGATCTTTATGTTGGGTTCCTTTATGTTGTTTGTTTTATGAAAATGGTATACCTGTGTCAGGTGTGTGTGTGTGTGTGTGTGTGTGTGTGTGTACACGTGTGTATTTAAATTGTAATATCTGGGGTTTTTTGTTGTTGTTGTTGTTGTTTTTGTTGATTTTTTGAGACAGGGTCTTACTGTATAGTTGAGACTGACCTGGAACTCACTATGCAGCCCAGGCTGGTCTTGAACTCAAAAAGATCCTCCAGCCTCAGCCCCCCAAGTGCTGGGATTACAGGTATGTGTCACCACTCCCAGCTGTAATATCTTCTTGATAGAATGTTTCCTTTACCAATATGTAGTGGCCTTTGTTCAACTTTAATAATTTTATCTTGAAATCTGCTTTGTCAGATTTGACTGTGCTTGCTTTTGGATTTCATTTACATGCAATATTGTTTTCACCAGGTTTGGTGGCGCACACCTGTAATCCCAGCATTTGGGAGGCTGAGACAGGAGGATTGCTGTGAGTTCGAGACCACCCTGGGCTATATAATGAGTTCCAGGTCAGTCTCAACTACATAGTGAGACCCTGTTTCAAAAAACAAAAAATAAGCAATATTGTTTTCTATCCTTTCATTTTCATTCTTGGTATGTCTTTGTTTCTTGGTTTTTCAAGACGGGGTCTTGCCATGTAGTTCAGGCTGGCTTTGAATTCACTGTGTAGACCAGGCTAGCCTTGAACTCATGGCGTTCCTCCTGCCTCAGCCTCTGAAGTGCTAAAACTACAGGCATGTGCTACCCCACTGCCCTGTATGTCTTTGCTAGTGAGATATTTTTCTTACATATATATTTATTGTTTTATTTGTTTGTTTGGTACCAGGGATTGAACGCATGACCTTGCGCTTTTGAGGTAGGCGGCTGAAACACTGAGCTAAATCCTTAATTCTGCTGAGATGTGTTTCTTGCAGGGAGCAAATA